TATATATATATATATATACTATCACATCAGTTATTTAGAAATGCACAATCTTACAAATTTTGTTTGCAGAAAGCGTTCAGTAAGCAACTAGCACATCTGGTCGCTGAAGATAGCGGCTCAAGTTGCGCTGGAGCGAGCGGTGGTTTGTCTATGTATGACCGTGTAAAAAGAAGAAGTTCGGCTGCTAATAAGGATGATGGCACGAAGAAATCGGCAGCTCTGCAGCGTTTGAGGGACAAGAACAATGAGAAGAAGAATCAAAAAGTGAATGTTCCATTTTAGTCCAAAGTCGTTGAAAAACATTTTTCGTTCTAGCGTATTCGTGTTCAACTGGATTCTTCTGATGAAGAGGATGACGCTCAGAGTTCCACAAGGAAACTAATCGATTCCGAAGTGGATGACTCATCAGAAGAAGAGGAAGAAGTAAGAATAGAAAAGGCTGAAAATGCGGATAGCAGCGATGAAGAGGTAACGTTTTTTCATCCTCCTTTCAATCAGGAAACCCGAGATCAAATTGATGCAAGAATATTATATGAGATTTAGGATACCCGTAAAAAGGGGGATTCTTCCACAGACGATTCCGAAGAGTCGGATGCTGCAACTCGAAAACAACACAGAAAGATAAAGAAGAGAGCTTCAGACAAAAGTCTAAAACACGTAAGTGCTTCTCCTTTCAATTGTCCTTTTTGTAGCTTCAATTGCACATCTTAAGAACAAAAATATTAATATGGATGATGTATTTGGCGCTGATAGCACTGACACAGAGAAACCCCAAACAGAAGAGAGGGATAAGAAACGTAAAAAGGTGAAAAAGGTGTGATTTCTTGATCAGTTTGTCTTACAATTTCATCTGCTTATCGTTTAAGGAGTCTTCTGATGAAAATGAAGCGCCGAAAAAGAAGATGATGAAGTCGGAAAAACTGGACTTTGAGTCGATTTTTGGTCCGGAAAAGCCACAGAAGAGTTCTAAAAATGAGAAAGATCGAAAAGAAAAACAACAGCAACGAACTGAATCTGAGAAGAAAAAGGAGAAAGATAGGAAAGAACTTGTGAAGAGAAAACTAGATGAACAGGGTAAGTTAGGTAAATTGTATTTTTCCACATAAAACAAAAATATCCATTCAAGATGCAAAATCTGCTAAGCGACCGAAGAAAAATAATAAGTCCGACGA